CCTTTACACAATACCGGAATAGCACGTGTCATATCTTTAGCACATTTAGCGCACTTATCTACTTTTTCAGCCATGATCGTAAAAATGGATAAAAAACAACAAAGTCACTCACAAAAAAACAAATCGTAACGATTTTATTATCCAAGTCTCAGGAGAAATAAGAACAAAATGTAGCACACCGAAATTGAGGTTAGAAAAACTCCGAAACAGTTTTACAGTCACTACATTCAATAAAAATGACAATAAAAAAATAGTCAAAGAAGCAAGTTAAAAAACAGTACAAACTTATTAAATTCGGCAATTAATAAATCAACTGAGATCAAGGATTAATTAACAAATAATAGAGATTACACACAAGGAAGTGTTACCAAGTAGCCACCTAGCGGCATATATTGCTATATTAATGCTATATTTGCTATATTAATGTGAATTTTAGAAATGTTTCGATTATTTTCGATTTTATTAAAATTTTCGTTATTATTTTTGAGATTCATATCCTCGAACATAGTCAAAGGGGTAAGATCTTGTAACACATTAAATTGATTTGTTTCACATTCAATAATATCATTTTCATTAATTTCACATTCAATATTTATTTCACGATCGTTTGCAATTTCAGAATCTACAGACTAAATTTTGTTTTCGACATATACAATATTTTCATTGCAAGGAATCAAAACAGTAAAGTGTCCATCTTTATGATTTTGATGATGATGTCCTGTAAATAGCAAATATATGGGCAATTCTCTCGAACCTTTAACCTTTAGGTGTCTTATATTTATTATGCAATTACTCAATATATATCAAATGTTTTATAAAAAGAATTATTGTTCCATGTAAAGAGTGTTTAATAATATTAAAATATGTTAGTTTTAAAATTATTAAATTATGTTCAGTAACACTAGTTTACAAAATTAAAAAAATTTTCTTATCCGCGGCATTTCACTATAATTTCTTATGTAAAATTTGCTCCTGAATCCGAATCTGAAGTCAGATATTAAGAAAGTAGAACAGTTTTCGAGATATGGGTAAATTTCAAATTTTTGAGTTTCGACAAAAAGTGGATTTACTAATATACAATTATTTCCTAATGCAGTCGATCGATTTCAATTTTCTTTGAAGCAAATTAAAGGTAATTTTATTTCTAATAAAAAAATATATACAACATTTTTAATCGGACTAACGGTTAAGGAGCTAGTTATGAATTTTTTTTGAATTTCTCATTATTTTTAACAAAATTTTAGAAATTGATTGACTTTTTCGGTTAATAACGACATAAAAATAGTGTTTACTTTGGGTAAAATAGAATAGAATAGAAGGTAAAAGCACTTAAATAAAAATATAAGAAAATTGGTTTTTACCCAATTTTACGATTTATTAACGACATATCGTATCGTTTTCGGTTTAAACAAATTTTAAACATTAAAATTGTCTTAAATTTGATTTGCACTGTTTTTTATGGATATTATCTGTTTCTCTAATCTAAAAATAACAAAAGTCACCAATCATTGCTTCGTCCCAAAATTCTTGGTAGCGACATTCCATTTCCTTTATTTGCTAGTGTAATCTTCACAAAAAATGCCAATTTTAATGTTAAAAATTTGTTTAAACCTAAAACCATACATGTCATTAATAAATCGTAAAATTGGATAAAAGCTAATTTTCTGTATTTTTACTTAAGTGCTTATATCTTCTATATTTTCAGTTCAATTTTGATCGGCAACGGCTTATATTCTTCCTAAGAAATTGTACTTTGACTTTCAAAAAAATAAACTCGAAGTAAACACTTCTTTAGGACGTAATTAACCGAAAAAGTCAAACAATTTCTAAAATTCTGTTAAAAATAATGAGAAATTCCAAACAAATTCATAACTAGCTCCTAAACCGCAAGTCCAATTAAAAATGTTGTATATATTTTTTTATTGGAAATTAAATTACCTTTAATTTGCTTCAAAGAAAATTGAAATCGAACGACTACATTCGGAAATAATGGTATATTAGTGAATCAACTTTCTGTCGAAATTCAAAAATTTGAAATTTACCCATATCTCGAAAACTGTTCTACTTTCTTAATATCTGACTTCAGATTCGGATTCAGGAGCAAATTTTACATAAGAAATGACATTATAATACCGCGGATCAAAATCTTTGTAAACTAGTGTAATTAATATAAATTTTTTAATATGGAAAAGTAAGCAAATCACGAGAGTCCCTTTAGGTACTTTCGGAAACATAAACTAATTTTATAAGTTGGCACATCAAAATAGAATAAAACGACGAATACATAAATGTAAATGAATATATAAGGATTATTTTAAAAGTAATTAGAAGATTATACGCATTTGGAAAGTAAAGATATTTAATTTATTAATTGTTATTTCTTAATTCTTGTTGGAAGGTAAATTCGCGAGACGAACGCGCGAGACCTGTTTGCTAAGATTTGGACGTTCTAGAATTTCTGCTAGAATTTCTGAAACGAGAACGAGCTAATTATAAATTATCCTTATGTACGAGTTGACCGGGATTTTGAAAATTAACCGAGAAATGACCGAGAATTTTAAATCATAAAAAATAGTCACCCTGACAATATGTTACTACCCCGAAAATTACCTGATGGAACATTTCGCAGTTCTCGGCGTAGAATTCGAGCGGAGGGCATTTCAGCGTGCTCTTCAGCAACTCTTTTTATTCCAGCTATTACCCGTACAGCTTCTACCTCTTCACGATTAGGTGCATGAGTGTGAGGAGACTTATCTATGCCTTTAAAAATTACTATTTCCGTTGCATTTGCTATAGGTCCTGTTGTAATTCGTGCGGAGCACTCACTTTTATTTCGACAATTCCAGTAAACGCGATTCTTTGCATTTGAATGCTTATAATATAAAAACCCGTTAATATGCAGAAAATGTCCTTTTCTAGATTTAATTAATTCTGCTTTGTCCATATTTAATACAAATTTTAATTTATAAATTACTAAGAATTTTGACAATCTTCCGAAACAGGTAAACAAAATTTTAACCGCAGAACTGACAAACGAATGAAGGTGGTTACAAAACAAATTGCGAAACAAAATGTGAACATAAATAATTTTTATACGTTTGGGAAAAGATTTTGGGAAAATAATTTTTTTGGGAAAAGTTTATTTGGGAAAAAAAATTTTTGGGAAAAAAAATTGTTAGGAAACTTGTTTAAGGAAAAGTGTCCCCCTACCAAATTAAATAAATAATAATTCAATTCACTAATTTTTATTAAAATATTTAAATTTGACCAATTTACTTTAAATTTAATATAATTAATAGAGAATATTAAAAAATAAATAATAAATATTATAAAAGAGTAAAGACAACCTAAATATTTAAATCTAAAACAATCGAAAACAATAGATTTTAACTTGTAAAAAATCGTCTTATTAAAAAAGAATAAAAATATATGAGACTTTCGAAATATTACATTTTTAACTGCAAAAATAAATTCTAAATGCTAATTTTAATTTATATACAAATTTTTATTAATGTGCTAGTAAATTTTTTTTTCAAGTCAAAAGTTAAAGGTTCCAGAGAATTGCCCATATTGTTTCTGTTGCACCAATTTTCTTGAAAGGCAAAATGTAATTAACTGCTTTCAGTTTTTCGCATGACAGTAACGTTAATATTATAAACGTATGCAGCCGCACGACATTCCAACATAGAACCATAAACTCCTTCATTTCCCATGTAAAACTTATATTTCGATGGATTAATAAAATCTAAACTATATAATGCTTCTTTCCGATATTCTTTCCAGTGATTGATAACATAAGATAATATTTTCTGTCGAAACGTATAACTACTTCTCACATTAAAATGCATTGCAAAGCACTTAAAGTTCAATAAGAATATCCAAGTGGTTTGTATTACTTACCTGAAACACCTTTTGTTCCGCTTAATGAGTTTTTAAATACCTCTTTAATGACGGACCCTTTAAACACATTCTTCACTATATCAGTGTTTAAAACGACAAATATTTGTCGATTATTATATAGTTATATTCCTACCCACATAGCACCATGTTTTGAGGTAAGATTACCTCTGCGGACATCTGTAAAGTTTGTAACGTTACCTCGTAAACCTGTAGTAAACATGAGATGCTTTAAAAATTTCCGCCTTACAGTAAGCTTACACGTAAGACCCATAGTAATGTTACAACTGACAATCATGGTAAGGTTACGCGGAAAACATGTGGTAAGGTTACAACTGACAGTCATGGTAAGGTTACGCGTAAAACATGTGGTAAGGTTACAACTGACAGTCATGGTAAGGTTACGCGTAAAACTTGTGGTAAGCTTACTGGTAAAGGTTGTGGTAACTCAAACAGTTTTATCTTGACAATCAATAGAAGAGAATCTTATTATATTCTGATAATAATAATAATAATAATAATGTAAACTAGTATTGTATGTTTTTTATTTATTATTAAAAAGATATTTAAAAAGTTTTACATATTAAAATGAAATTTTAATTTTTTACACAGATTGTTAAATTTTTTAGCAAAAACAAAAGTTGATGAAAAAATCTTCATTTCTTGCTTTATTTTTTTTTCATCAAACAAAACTGCGTTTAAATTGAGCAAGATTTTTGTTTCAACGCTTTAAAATTATTTCTCTTTTTTGACTCTCGTGTAATATGAAATTTTTGATTTGAGAAAAAATTTCTTCCTTTTCAAAGGATATTGTAAATTAGAAATAAGATTTCTTTTTGAAATACACAGTGCTTAAGGCCAGTATCTTTTCACGAATCTACAAATAACATTTTCATAGTTTAACTAATTCAGCTTCTGCAGTGCTAAAAACTAATTTTTGATTTAAGAAAAAATTTCTTTCTTTTTGAAGGAAATTAGAAATTAGATTTCTTTTTAAAAAAAACAGTGCTTAAGGCAGCATCTTTTCACGAATCTACAAATAACATTTTCATAGTTTAACTAATTCAGCTTCTGCAGTGCTAAAAACTAATTTTTGATTTAAGAAAAAATTTCTTTCTTTTTGAAGGAAATTAGAAATTAGATTTCTTTTTAAAAAAAACAGTGCTTAAGGCCAGCATATTTTCACGAATTTACAAATATTTTCATAGTTGAATTTGTTCAGCTTCTGCAGTGCTAAAAACAAAGATAAGTATATTATACATAATTAGATATAAGAATAAAAAAAATAGTAAATTGACACTTACAGTTTTCTGTTAAGCCTAAGTTTACAATTCGACAGCCAATTCCGAATATGATGATCAATATCGTTTGTTGACACATTGTAATCTTGCAACAATAGTAATGCTGCTTCTGTATATGCAGAAAATAAATAATCTTTTTAATGTCATTAAGGGTACTAATAAACTGTTTTAAATTTTTAACTTATCAGGTTGAATTTTATCAACTTTGACGCGTTTCCAAGAAAGGTGCCTAAGAACCAAACGAATTATAAGTTTTGATTGTGTTAGATTTAACTCGATTAAAAGTTCCTTTTTAATCATGTAAATTTGCAACCAGGTTCTATTGAATATTTTAGATGTAATTCAAAATTGAACATCAATTTTTTGTAATAGTAGTTTTGATTCTCTTTTTGTATTCATAATACAAAAATTATAAACATAACGTAAACAGGCTTCACAGTGCCCCTAAAGAGTATTTTAGGGGAAATAGGGGACTGAAAATTAAACAATAGGGGACTTTTAGGGGACCATAAAAATTGGTTAAATAAAGATAAAAATGTAATTTATTTATACAGGGTTGCCACAAAAATTTAACTTTATTTTTCCCTGACCCTACATAATATTTAGATCCACTCTCAAAATTATTAGATACTCAAAAAAATGTTTTATTAAATTTATTTACAAATTTCTTCAAAAGTAAAATTATTCGAAAAAATCAATAGTTTTATTTAAAATCAATATTTAATCATTTTTTTCATTGCAATTAAGATGTTCAAAAATTTCAAACTCAAACCTTTTCAAATTGAACAACCCATAAGAAATTATAAAACAAAAAGAAATTTCTTTATTTTTCAATTCAAAATTTTCTTTATGTTAATAGCAATTAAAAATGACCGACTAACAAAATCATTAATTTATTATTATAAGATATTATTGGTACTGTAATTTCTTCAAATTATTTGTATCATTTCAATTCAATTAAAATTTCTAAAAATTTCAATTAAAATTATACTTTAAATCAATAACATCAATTATTATTCAATTAAACTTTCAAAAAAATTAATTCTACAGAATTGTTAGTTAAAAGTAGGTACGAAAAACAATAATTTAATTCTACGAGAAATCAATTATTTATATAGGTAAAAAAATAAATAATATTAAATGTTTATTAAAATTTAATTTTTACGAAAAATTGTATTAACAACTTTTGAAAATATTTCATTTCTTTTAAGGAATTTATTTAAAATTTTAATAAAATTAATTATATTAAAGAATTTTAAAACCATTTTTGAAAATAATTGAAAAATTTTTGATGAATTTTATTAAATGTTTTAAAAATAATTGGATTCCTGAGAAGAATTTCTGCAAAGTATGAATATTGATATTTATTAAAATAATTTGAATTTTGGAAAAGAATTTTATTAAAATTCCTTAAAATAAATGATTTTATAGGAAGAATTTATGCAATTTTGTTATTTATCAAGATTATTGAATTTTTTTGCAAAATTACTTAAAATTTTTTGAAAATAATTGATTTCCTACGACGAATTAAATGTTATTTATGAAAATATTTGAATTATTGAAACGAATTTTATTGTTTTATTGAATAATTAAATGTTTCTTAAAATTGAATTCTTTCCAGAAGTTTTGTTGGTTGGTTATCAAGATAATTGAATTCTTTTGCAGAATTACCTGCGACGAAAAAATAGGGGAAATTTAGGCGAAATTTTCAAAATAGGGTACGTTTAGGGGCCAAAATTAAAAAAGGGGACTTTTTGGGAAACAGGGGACAGACTGTGAAGCCTGCGTAAAACTTTTTTTAACTTCTCAGGTACCTTTCTTGGGAGCGCGTTACAAATACTTACTCGAACCCACTAAGTAAAGGTTTGTCCTATTAAACAATGACTTCTCCTTATTTTTTCCACTTAAACAGTACGTGCTACCTAACTCGAAGGAAATTACGTTCTGTAATAAGGCTGATATTGTTAAACTAGGATTGTTATATCTCCCCACATTCTTGAGGGCAATAGTCTGAAAGAAATCAAAAATTATCAATTCAAAATTAAAGATTAAATGCAAATATTTAAGAATTATAAAAATAAGGGAATTATATTAACTGAAATATAAATTTTCGTTATATAATACTGACTGGTTATTTGAGTTATTTAAAATATTATAAGAAACTAAACAGTATTTTATTTTTATCTTTAAAACTTTTAGTATATCTACCTATTTTAAAAATAAAATTAGTTATTTTGACAAACTTCTCTCAATTTAAAATTTTTCAGAATATTCTCTGAAAAATTCAAATAATTAATTACTTATTTTTCATTTATTTAATTTAAAAAAATGTTTCGAGATAAATATTTTATTATTATTGTTACGTTTATACTAAAATTAATAGTAAAAATAACCGTGGTTTGAACGAGCGATGTACTTTTCGGAAGTCGCTAGCAATTTTCTCGCAAGATGGTAAGTCTTGCGAAAATTATTTGATTGTGAGTTTGTTATTGCTTCAGCTCTACGGGAGCTGTTATGACGTTATTCTTAATTTAATGGTAGAAGGAAATATAGATTTAGAATTTAAGAAATCTTTTATTACAAAGAAACTCAAATTATAAAGATAGATAGGTATACAATATTAAATCTTACCAAATACTTACAGTTGTTGTATCGGTTTGATATTACACAAATACTTAATACTACTTTTAAATGTTTTATTTAAAAGGCAAGAACTTTAAAATGAGTTTAAACGGGATTAGAACGACCCATAACAGTCGAAAACCGTATTCGTACTCAAAAGCTTTACATCAAGCCCCTAATTATTTTCAGTATCTCGACTTGTAAGAACTTCCGTTAAATACAGAATTCGACGGCACGAATAATTTAACAGAGTATGTCTTTGGTACGATTACAAAATATAAAAAGGGCATCTGCCTGATGGGACAAGATCTTTGGTTACTTCGGTAAGAGAACGGAAGAAAATGACAATTCGGAAGAGGGCTTTCCAGCTTTTATGCAATAGTTCCCACTAGCGGAAAAGGGTCGCAAACCAGTGAGTAGCCAATACGGATGTTTAGAAAAGTGTAGGTCGTCTTCCAGACCAATCTGGAGCCGAGCTATTTTAGTTAACCAATCAAACTTAGCCGAACAGGCCCTAGGTTATTGAACCTTGCCCCGAGTGGGGTCACTATGCGTTGGAGATCCCCTTTAGAGTCGTTCTTATATAATACACAAATTCGAAGAATCATTAAGATGTTACATAAGTTGAATTTTGTTATTAATAATTCATACGTATACAACAATTGTATATACTAATATTAATATAACTGGTTGAAAAGTTTGTCATAAGAATATCTAATTGTTTAAACGATTTCAATTTTGATTTGATTTAATATTAAAATCTTATATAGTGGAATTAATGGGATATACACATAAGGTGACTAATACCTTGAGGTCAACAGGAGTTATTAAGCATTCCTTCGCGTTTCTCTTATTCTCTGTTGTTATGATACTTCATATCGCTTAGAGTGTCGAATGCTTAACACTTCCGTCGTCAACGAGGGCATGCTTTTTTTTATACGGTGCATGTGACAAATATGTTACATTACAATTTGAAATAAGAAAGGAAAAAGTTACTGCAAACGTAACATTATTATTAAACTTTTCACATCAATTAACATTTTTTTAAATTTTAGTATAAAACATTCATAATAATTTTTTTAAAAGAAAATTTGATGAAAATTCAATGATTTTGAATATTTCAAAAATATTTTTGAACACGAATAATTACATTTTTTATAGTAATTATAAAAGTTTTTTTTTATCTTTTTAACACTTGTGATAAAAATCCCTTTCATTTCCTTAACAAATTTCGTTTTTCCTTAATTTTTCCAGAATTTTAAAATTCCTGTTGATAAAATGAAATTAAATACTTACTACAATGTCAAAAAAATCTGTATCTTGTTCCAGTTTTTTTTCGACTTTATCAAAAGTTTCCATATCATTTAGAGGGAAGTCACTTAATTCTGGACTCTTGTGAAGAAATGAATATGTTGTCGACAAGTTCGAAGTATTGCTTCCATTTGTTTGATTGCTACGACGAGCCAATAAATCTGTCGTTACCTCGATTTTGGTGACTTTCGACAACAACATTTTGTCATACGGATGTACTTAAATAAAAAATTTGAATATTATAAAGCAAACTATTACGTATTATATATTTCTTCCAACTATTTGTGAATATTAAATTGTTTACTTACAATTTTCTAAATCATTTTCACTTAGAATGTCATTAAAGTTAAATCTTTTTCCCTTAGATTTCGTCTCCTCCTCTTTTGTTTTAGCAGCGTTAGTTTCCTTGACTTGAGGCAATTTTTTTGTCATTTGACCATCAGTTTCGACTATTTCAGCATCGCCTTCGTCGATTTTAACATTACCATCCATGTTTTGAGTATTACCTTCGTTTCCTGTTTCTGAAAAATAGATTTTTTGTATATAAGTTTAAGGACCATTCTATAAAAAAGCTTTTAAGAAGGTTGCTAGATAACCCAGGTTTCGGGTCGACTTTAAAGCGAAAAAAGATGATTTAGTTGATTCAGAGTATGTACTTAAAATTTCGAAAAAGTCGTAATTTTATTTGAAGTTGACACAAAAGTTTAATTTCCAGAAAAATATTTAACTTTCCCCCTTATCTCAATAATAATTTTAATAATAAGTTTTTTTTTAAATTTAATTATTTTCAAATAACGTAATATTTTTCAACATTTCTCTTTAAAAAAACACAAGTATTATTAATAATTGTAAAAAATATTTTGAACATAAAATTTATCTCAACAATAACATTTTATATACTCTGTAATGGGTTTTTCCAACAATTAATAATATTTATAAAAATTATAAACAATTTATTATTACAATTTGTTATAAACAATCATAATAATAACAACAACAAAATTAATGTTTTCAAAAAAAAGAGAGCAAACAGTAAATAAAATCCAATTTATAAATAAAATAAATTATTAACAATAACAAAAATAAATATTAAAACTTAGCCAAAGTCTTTATACCCAATACAATTGGAAGGAAGGAGAGAGAGGGGAATACTTTATAAATTTCTCAACTCAACTAATTTGTTGAGCGCCAGTCCTTTCTAGGGACATTTTCTTATAAAAAGAAAATTAGAGAATTAACAAAACGAATAAGATTTTAAGGAAACAAGACCATTGAATCCTCAAAATTTATAATACTAAAATTATTAACAAAACAAGTACCTAGATTACAGGGAAACAAGACCATTGTTCTCTACTAATCGTCGCTTCAAATAAAACAAAATTAAAATTGACCAAATTCCAAAACAAGAGCAAAGGGGGTTTTGAGTTGAGAAACGAATAAAATATTAAGGATTTTGCCGGTTAGCTAGGACCAAAAGGTCGAAGGAAGCGTCGTGGTTCGAAGAAATTATACTCTATTATTAGCAGTAAAATTATAAAATATATTTTAAAATGAAATACGAAAATGATACAAACGAGGGTAACAAACGAATTTTATATAATATATGAGTCACATCTCATTAAAATTCCAATTTCACAAACATAAAATATTACAAATAAATACATAAAGGGCACACAAAATTACAAAATTATACACAGATTTTCACAACAAAATTATAAATTAAATAAAATGTTCAGCCATAAATAAAAAAAAAGGTACCTAAAAGGGGTAACGAATTTGGTAACTGGGGAAAGCTAATGGGTAATTTCAATAATTTAATAATAATAAATTATTGTGGGGTTGGTAACTTGGGTAACGGGAAAGAATTTAGTATAAAATCCTGAGAATAAAAGGGGAAAAAAAGGTAACAAAAGGCAACACTTGGTTGAACAAGAGACATTGAAATAACCTACTATATAATAAGATAAATTAATTTAATAGTCCATTAATTATTATCCAAATTGCAATAAAATCATTTTAACTAAATTAATTGATAAATTTCAAATTCAATAACAAAAAAAAGTCTCTTGTTCAGCCATGAGGCCGGCTGAACCAAAATTACACTTTTACATAATTTTATAAAACATTTTCCTTCTTTCTTTCTTTTTGCAATAAAAAAAAACTTACAATTCCAAAGAATAATCGGCAAAACTGCACACAGTCGAACAGCAACAACCAAGATCAGAACACAAAAAGAAAAACTAAAGAATTTTCACAAGAAAAATGAATTAGAGTGATTAGAAAATTAAGTATTTGAAAACACGTCTGGACAGGCCAAGAGCAGGATTCCAAAGAGAGCGATGATAACGATGACTGCCGGCTCGTACCCTGCTGGTCCTTCTTCGCTTTTCCCCACCGGTAGCCCTTGGTCAATCTTGTATTCTTACGCCGGAAAAAGGAGCGTAACCACTGGAAAAGCCATAGGCCAATTTCAACTTTAAGAACAGCTGTCGGCATCCAAATTTCGGTATCTTGACCCGTGTCTTTCTCGCCATCAACTTGTTTCAGGGAATTAGTTCCTAATTTGTAGCTACTCTGATTACAAACCAAATAAACAACCAATAATCCAATAAAATATCCAAAAATACGAAAATCAGAGTGGGCCTTTAGCAACGATTAATTCGGGCCTGATTGACAAGAGGTTTTCACTACGAGAAAATTTGACGAGAAAATTCTCCCTTATTTGTTTCACAAATAATACTCCTGAATAAAAATAAAAATTCCGGAATAATATTAAAGTTAATAAATTTCAGGGTATTATTATCATTTATAACAATTCTCGGGTTAGGTGCAAAAAAAAGGTAACAATTTCAAAATTATTCAAAGCTAAATTGGGTGACATAGTAGTTTCCGGTAGGTAGGGGAAAGCGAAAACGGGGAAAAGCATAGCGAAAGCGGCAACTCTCGAGGAATCATTTCTTCGAGAAAGGGGGTTTTCTCCTTCATTCGTACGAAGAAAGGGGAAATTCTTAACGACGAGAGGGGAACTCTGCTTGCAGGTTGACCGACGAACGTCGTTTTCGATGATTTCAAATATTAGAAATATTCAGGGAATACGAGAAACAAAAATTTGCAAAAGCGAAACGATAGATAATATTTATATTATTAAATTAATGTTTATATAACAAACTAGTCTTAATTTTAAGCTTTTCTTTAGTTCTTATTATTGTTTATAAAAAAAATGATTGTTTACAATCAAATTCCATGCAAACTTATCATGAAACTTTGTTAATATTTTTATGAAAAATTTGCAACGTCACAACACCCCCATCCTTAGATGAAGCCAAGAGGGCGCTGTAAGACTAAAAAAAATTAGTTTAGGAAGGTAAGTTGGGTAACAAATAAATAAAATTGAAGGACAACGTAATTCATAAAAAAAAACTTTTATTTCCTATTTACAGGCGCGAAGTCAGTGCGCAGTTTGGGCACTTGTTGTCGGTGAGGATGTCTCCGCAGGTTCGGCAAACATCCTTGATGCTGATCGTAGGGTTGGGGCAATCTTCGCATAAGTGACCTTGGTCACCACACGTCCAGCAACCTTTCTTGCTGCTACGGCGGAGCCATTTTATTAAGTCGGGTTCAACCTTCTTGGGTGGTTCCACCACGATGTCTAGTAGCGAGGGGATTGGTTTTGGTGACGGGTCTGCTGGATTCGATAACGGGTTGGTGACGATAGGGATATTATAATATTCGGTAGGGGTAACAGATTCGGGGTTGGGTTTCTTTGTGTATTTTTGGGGATTTTTGTGATCGATGGGGCAGCCTGGTGTTCGGCATGTTGGAGATCGAGATCGAGTACGTCTGGTTTTCGGAGGTGTAGGGCTCTTTGACCGAGGCACGTGGTAAGAGGGTGTGCGGGGTCGGTAGGGTGACATTCGGTGTTTCCTCTGTTTCTTGACGGTTTGTTGTGTACGGTTGGATCCGTAAAAGTTCTCTCGTAAAATGGGGTGGGGGTCTTCTTTGTAGTGTTCTTGAGTGTTCGTAGAGGGTGACAAGTGGGAGTGAGTGTTTGAAGTGGGGTTATGGGTAACGAGGGGTGTTTCGTCTGTAATTGTCATGTCGGGGTTTCGTGAGAAAGATAAAATTTCGTCGCGTTCTTCGTCTGTTATGTCAATGTGTAAAGTTGGGGAAGCAGATCGTGTATTGGTATCAGTGTCGTTGTTGTGTGATGTGTTGGGTTCGGGGGAAGTCTGGATCTCAACTTGTTCATTCGTTGTCGGCAACACGTTTACCTCTATTCTGTGAGAGAGTAAATAATTCTGGCGCTCTGCCAGAAAAGCTTGGGACAAAGCAGGTAACAGTTTGGGGAAAAGGGTTTCCAGGTTGGAAAGGACCTTCCTGTGGGGCTTCAAGAAGCGCCAACTGGGCTGATCGACAATTCTGAGCTCGTCCTCCAGGGTCCAGGGTTCATCCTCGGGTATGGGCTCGTGGTATTCTCGGAGCTGTTCTTGCAGTGCCTCGATGTTTAAGAGGAGCTCACGATTCTCCTCTTTTCGGTCCTTTAGGATTTTCCCAGCTTCCTGGAATTTATTGATTAACTCTGCTTTTTCGGTCCCTATTTTCACGATGATGTCGTTCAACTTTCTCCCTTTCTCCTGTTCGTGGAGAATTATTTGAGTGAGCCTATTTATTTCGTTGTGGTATTGGAGGATATACTGCTGCTGGGTCGCCACAACGTTGCTTAGCTTCGACACCTCCTCCATTAGGGACAGCTCTCTGGGAGACGATGTGGAGGCTTCTAGAATAATGGGTTGGTCGCTGGGGAGTTCTGGGGGGTTTTCCGTCGAAGAGTATTCGGGACTTCTTAGGAGCTCCGCTTCCTCTTCTGGTTCCATTTGGTCCAGGTTTCCCACATCATCCCTGATGTCGTCGGCGTCGACGAACTCCCAATCTCCCGGGTATAGTTCTGAGGTTTCCTCCATTGTTTGTTTGTTTGCTAAAGTAGGATTATCGAAAAGTATTTATGTTAGGTTTTATTATTTTGACCTTGTACTTGGACATTTCACATAGGAGAAGACGACATTTTACAGCACTGGAAGGCAGGACTTCACAAAACTCCGGAAGACGATATGAAGAAAATTAATTTCAGGTAATTAAGGTAACAGGAATTCAAGGGTGAGTATTTTAATCTTCGGTAACGTAATTTATTTTCAGTAACATATTTTATTTTCAACTAACTTTTATTTTCAGGTAAGTAATTTTTATTTTCAGGTAATTAACTTTTATTTTCAGGTAACATAGGGGATTGTCGAAATTTTAAACTCATTCGACACTTAGATAGGGTTTAATGTCTTGTACGTGAAATTTTCCTAGTCTGACAAAAGACAAATCACACAATTCTACAACACTGGGTGACAAAATTTTGGAAACTTTATAAGGTCCAACAAACTTAGGGTTTAGTTTAGACGAGACATTTTTAAACTTGGAAGACAAAATACGACAGCGAGTAAGAACTAAGTCTCCTACAACATATTTTACGGGACGGTGACGTTTGTTGTAATATTGGGATTGTTTCAAGAATGCTTTATCTAGGTTTTCAATTATCCAATCATTCATAATCTG